ATGACGGAATGGCCTAATCAAAGTAAGGGTGAAAATAAAAATAAGAAACAAATCCACTCATTTCCTGTATCTTTACATTTGGCCACAACTTTGTGATGATATATCAGATAAAATCTCAATTATGTGAGTGGATTATGTAATGACAAGGTGTCAAGGTTAAAGGGTTTGAACCCTGTTGGTACTTTATTCTCAAGTTGTTTCCTTTGATTTTATTCCTTCTTCCAGATTGGTCCACAAGGATTCTCTGTCATGCAGGTGCCATCCCTGTCTTGGTTCTTCTGCTGCAGTCCTCCAATTCAGAAGTTCAGTTTTACAGCTGCACAGCTCTATGCAACATTGCTGCTGTTCAAGAGCATCACCCAAAGTTGCTAAACATCGGAGGTCATTATTTGTCCAAGTCACTTCTGACACTCATGTCTTCCTCGGTACAAAAGGTGATTGGGAACTTCACTCAGGGGGGGAAATGTTGACTTTGATTCTGTTTTACATTGTCGATATTGTGTGTTTTTCAGAATTCTGCCCAAGCATGCAGATGCCTTCTAACCCTTTTAAAGAATGGTAAATGTAGCATTCCATTTATTCAGTACTTTCAAAATGCCTTCTGCAGGTTCTGATTGTGTTTTTTTTTTTTTTTTGTCCAGTTTGGGTCCAGGAACAGATCATGGAACTTAACTGTGTGTTTCCTCTGAAGGCTCTGCTCAGAAGTCTGAATTCTGCATGGATAGATTCTGCTTTAGCACTGCTGTGTCAACTGTCTGCACACCCACCAAACTGTGTATGCACCCCCCATTCCTAAAGTATATCAATCAATGACCTGTTTGTGGTATATATTGCAATTATGGGATTTCAATTTTTTTTTTTTTATGTAATTCTTTTTCTTTTTTTTGTTCCAAGACAAAATTGCCTAATATAAAAAAGCAAAAGAATGTTTAATATTCTACACAGCTCCTTGCAAAACTCTTTATATCCCCATTGAACAATTTGACATTTTGCGTAAGCCACAAGATTTTATTCATTGTATTTGGATTTTCTATGAAGGACCAAGGCAAAGGGGCGTAGATCTATGAAATAGAAGGAAGTGATTACTTAGTTTTCAAACCTTTTTTATTAATAAATATCTAAAGTGCAATAATGATGTTATAATAATAAATATAATAATGTTTTATTTAACCACAATGAGTCATTCCACTTTTCAATAATTTTCAATGCACATCTGAAAACTGAATCTTCCCTAGTTTTACTTTGCAAAATAGCTGGAGCCAATCAGACTGGATGGAGAGTGAAATTTTTGAATTGTTTTATTTTGTAAGCTTTTTGTGTTTTCTCAGATTTGAATCTGGACTTTATTTGATTGAGGTTTTCTAACACAGCAGCAATACCTTAACATAAAACGTAACAAAAACAATTAGATTGTAGTCATGGGCCTATGGGCTGCTTCTCCTATTAATAACCATTCTGTCATTTTAGCTCTATATTCATGTCCTGATGAGTTATGCACTGATTATTTTACCTTCTAAAATACATTTTTTTTTTTATTATTATTGATATCGACTTATAGGGGCTGAATTTAAATCCATGCTGTTCCTCACAGCTTTGAAGCTGAAATTAAGTGCTACAATTATGTTGGTCTATTACAAAGAATACTTATAAAAACACAATCAGGTTTGCAGCTATAATTTAAAAGTATAGTGGAGGATCTTCGAGAATTTTTGCACAACCCTGTACCTTTGTACCGAAAGGGGACGTCTACTAAACGCGTGCAAGAGCTTGCACGAGCTCATTTCTCCTCATGCACGCTCTGTTTAAAAGTTGCTGTTTGCATCGTTTATACAGGCTTACTTTCCAAAAGAAGATTAGCTAATTTTCCACTATGTCAGACTCGCCACTGGTAAGAGAAAATGGGGACCAGCATGAAGGACGGCCTTACGTAAACATATCACCAGAATGATTGACAATTAGGAGGACCGCTTATTTTCACGATCCACTGGGAAAAAGAACATCCTCAGCTATACTTTTAAGACTGTAAAAGTGTGCGGGATATGAATACTTATGGAGGCACAGTGTGGACTTTCCTGTATTCTGATTTCAGGTTATCCTGATGGGTGAAGGGCTGTTGAGGGAATTTGGTGATCTGCTTCATCATCCAAGATCAAACTCTTTTCAGATCTCACAAAGTTGCAAGATCATTACTGACCTGTGCAGTGCCTGCTTGGATGAGCAGGTACACCACTTATTTATGACATGTCTGATTTATCTTTTGGCCTTAAACTCTGAAGGTTAGCCTGAATCCCCATAATGTTATCCAGGCTGTGGTGGAAAGCCGATGTTTATCCGGTTTGCTCCGAGTACTTCTGTCTCCATCGCTGTCAGATGAGGCGCTGCTAAATATTATGATGTGTCTACATCGCCTGATGACCTGGGGTGATGATCCAAAGTTTTATAGCATCTTTTTCAAACTCTCTCTTATTATTTTCCATGAATAAATTTCATGTATCCATTGTCTGCTAAAATATTTGTGAAATCTCTCTCTGCAGAAGGGCTGAAGTCCAAATTGTCGACATCTGTAATGCCACAGCACGTTTGGAAACTGGTAGAGCTTTCTGGACAAACAAGAAATACCCGGTTGTCCTACCACTCTGCAGCCGTCCTCCACATGTTTGAACTGACGGGTAAAGTAGTGTACATGCCTAAAACAACAGCTTTATTCTTATATGGTTATATTTCTAATTTCGCTTTTTTTTTTTCTTCTCCCACACAGACGATTTCCTTCAGCTGCTAAGGCCTCATTACAGTGCAGTGTCTAAATATCTGTTGCTGTTCCTCAAACAGAAAGATGTTAAATTCCAGCAGCTTGGCGTTGCTACCATTGCCAAACTCAAACAGGGTTTGTTTTCAATTTCATATTTCTATATGGCAAAAAAAGCCTAAGAGTCTTTATACTCTTTATTTTTCATGTTGCAAATTATAACTTTTTAAATAACTAATTATTAGATTTGATGTGATTTACTTCAACAAAGCAGTACATGAGAACTTATATTGATGATAAAATTGTGTCTGCTTAGTATGTCGCTTTGGATAAAATGCATAAACATAAATATGGCTAAAGGCAAGTTTTCAAACTTTTGACGCAAACCAAACAGAAATAAAATCCTTTTGCAGCCAGTAAGGGAATTTTAATATAAAAAAAAAAAACGTTAGTGAACAAGTAGTATCTTTTTATCAGATTTTTAGCTTCATCCACATGGCATTATTTCACTATGTGGAATCTGAATAAAATAAATTGTAATGGAACAAAATGAGAAAAATTCAAAGTGTATAAACACTTTTTAAAAAGAACAGAAAAAATATTGAATCTACTAAAACTAAGGAGCCTTTCAGCAGTTTAAAACCTGTTCCTCTGCAGATGGAGAGTTTTTAACTATGGCGACTGATGGTGAGCTGCAGGCTCAGCTCTGGAACCTTCATGCACAGACGGAGGAGATGCGACAGCTGCTGCAAATGATTCAGCCTCCCTCTCCATCATCTGGGTCACCTTTCCCTTGACCTGCTCTGTACATCGTACAGAAAGTACGAGGTGTTTACTTTTATGCAATGTTTTGAAAAACCTATTTTTATTCAGCTTTTTTTTAAAACAAGAACAATTTTATATTTTATGTTTTTTTACTTAAGCAGAAAAGGACAAGGGTGTGGCATCAGCTTTAATCATATACATACCATACAGTTTAACATTTTATAAAGCTAACCGTATTGGATCAAGTTTAAGTTACACATTTTATGCATTTTTAATGTTTAAGACCCATTCTAAAGCTATAAGCTTTTGCTCTGCAATTGCACACTATTGAAGCAACTGTGAGTGCAAACAAGGCATTTCTCATTTTTACATCTAAAACCAGAATTAAAGCCTATCTTTGGAACCCATGTCTGTTGTTGCGGCTTTTATATACGATTGCTCTATTTTCAAAAGTTCAAGGTAAAGATTGTAACGCAGCAAGTTCTAGTTTAGCAGCACATTTAGCGCACACTGCCTCTTCATTTATTCAAGTTCCACTGAGAAAAAACTAGTTAAGGAAAAGTGCTGAGTAAGCAGGTTAAAGCTAAAAATAACTTGACAAGCTCTTATTGATAAAATGGCTATTCTCTCAGATTCATTATATCCACTAACAAACTACTGTAGAAGCACAAAGTAAAGCTAAACCCCATTTTGAGTGTATTGGATTTAAACCCTGCTGCAAAGAGACGTCTTTGCCATAACTGTGCTGAACAGCTGTGCTGCTGGCTATTGCAGACATCCTCACAGGGAGGCTAAGCTGTAACGTTACATGTTTTGTAAAAGCGCCGAAAGGTAGCAGAATGGCTGTGCTGATTTAGTAGCTTTGCAGACAAATCGCAGCTCTTTGATGACTTCCCTGGATAGCAGAGGCCTCAGGAGGAGCTCAGATGACTTCTAAAAGACGCCGGGGAGAGAAAACATTCAGAAACATTACCGTATTATTAAAGACTTGAATCCTGATTGAATTGAAATAATCAGGTTCAAGCAAATGGACAGTTTTTTTTTGTCTTTTGTTTGTCCTCACCTGCTCTCTGTTTGGTTTGGATTTCCTCCAGACCAGAAAGCGCTCTGAGGGATCTCCGTTCCTTGAAGGCCACGACGGGCACCACGTCATCCTCTTTGCCTAACCCCAGCTGTGTGCTTTTAGTCCCAGACGGCGTCTTGTTGGGGTCCTCTATCCTTCCGTTATGTGGAGGCTCCGTGTTTTCATTCGGTAGGATCGTCGGCGAGGCA